GCAGTTTGGGAGGCTGAAGCGGGTGGATCACTTGAGGTCAGGAGTTTGAGACCAGCCTGGCCAAGGTGATGAAACTCCACCTCTACCAAAAAATACAAAAGTTAGTTGGGTGTGGTGGCATGCACCTGTAGTCCCAGCTACTCAGGAGGTTGGGGTGGGAGAATCACTTAAACCAGGGAAGCGGCCGGGCGCAGTGGCTCACGCCTGTAATCCCAGCACTTTGGGAGGCCAAGGAGGGTGGATCATGAGGTCAGGAGTTCAAGACTAGCCTGGCCAAGATGCTGAAACCCCATCTCTACTAAAAATACAAAAAAATTAGCTGGGTGCGATGGTGGGCACCTGCAATCCCAGCTACTCGGGAGGCTGAAGCAGAGAATTGCTTGAACGTGGGAGGTGGAGGTTGCAGTGAGCTGAGATCGTGCCACTGTACTCCAGCCTGGGCGACAGAGCAAGACTATGTCTCAAAAAAACAAAACAAAAACAAAAACAAAAATCAGGGAAGCAGAGGTTGCAGTGAGCTGAAATCATGCCACTGCACCCTAGCTTGGGCGACAGAGTGGGATGCTCTGTATTAGTCCATTTTCACACTGCTGATAAAGACACACCCGAGACTGGGTAATTTATAAAGAAAAAGAGGCTTAATGGACTCATAGTTCCTCATGGCTGGGGAGGCCTCACAATCATGGTGGAAGATTAAAGGCACGTCTTACATGGTGGCAGACGAGACAGAATTAGAGCTAAGCGAAAGGGGAAACACCTTATAAAACCATCAGATCTCATGAGACTTATTCACTACCACGAGAACAGTATGGGGGAAACCGCCCCTATGATTCATTTACCCGCCACTGGGTCCTTCCCACAATTCATAAGAATTACAGAAGCTACAATTTAAGATGAGATTTGAGTGGCGACACAGCCAAACCATATAACCCTGTCTCAAAAAAGAAAAGAACAGAACAGAACAGAACTCAGTCTCCAGCTCCCAGCAAGCAGGCAGGCCTCATTTTTGCATCTCAGTAAGGATCCTCTGACATGCAAACTTCATATTTTTCTCCATGTTCCTACTACACATAGAGTGGTCCTACATTGTCCAAACTGGAACCTTTTAGAGAGATAACAGGAAGACACTGAACATGTGAATGAAAAATGGCCAGACCATATGCAAAAATAGAACTCTGACTCACAATCTGCAACAACCAGACCAGAAAACCAATCTATCATCTACAAATCAGACATGTAGGAAGTTACATCACTATCACTAGGAAACAATCCAGGAACCCAGCAACAACCCCTGTAACAAATGGCCCCAGATGGCAAGAACTTTATTTAAAAATGATAGCTTTTTAAATTTTTGGACCTGCTGTCAACATAGGACCAAAAGAAAACCAACTGTGCATCCCAACCAAACACATAGGATGCTCTGCTAGTTCTAGTTACCCCACCTATAGCTTCCCTATGACAACAGTCTTCAGTTAGGGCACACCTGAAGCCTTCCCCTATTCCCCACTGTAAAGTTTTCCCACTTCTCTGTTTTTGAGGCTCTGACAAAACGCAAGTGATGGTGGCTGACTCCCTTGTTATAGCAAACTCTGAACAAATAGTCTTCACCTCTTCTCATGTAGTCTTCAAATAGTCTTCATGTATTTCCACAAAGGGCATACTAGTAATAATTTTGCTGAATCAACAGGCAAAAATCAGGACTGTCCTGAGCAAATCTGGACATAAATCACCCTAGTTATGAAGCAAAATTAGACCAGAAGCTGTTTGCTAGTGAAATACTGTATGAGGTTTAGGAGAATGAAAGTGTGAAAGACAAAAGATAAAATATGCCACCACCACTAGGTGGGGTTACACCACTAAAGAATGGAGGATGTTTCAATTAAAAAGGGAAGTGCTTGAAGTGTATATGCTCTTAGGTTACTGTTCAGTAATCTTTTTGGTTTTGATGCATGATACTGTAAATCCAAACATTGGAATCAATGTAAAATGGTCTTCAGGGCAATAATTGATGAGCTAATTCCAACGGGAAATGTTTGAGCATATTATCATCTAGTATTAATTCACTTTCAATTATTGCCTTCTGCACCTGAAGCAGTAATGAGATGAACAACACATTCCCTGCCTTTAAGAAGGTGGCTGGGTGCCGTGGCTCACGCCTGTAATCTCAGCACTTTGAGAGGCCGAGGCAGGCGAATCACAAGGTCAGGAGTTTGAGACCAGCCTGGCCAATATGGTGAAACCCCGTCTTTACTAAAAATACAAAAATTAGCTGGGCATGGTGGCGTGCACCTGGAGTCCCAGCTACTTGGGAGGCTGAGGCAGAAGAACCGCTTGAACCTGGGAGGCCGAGGTTACAGTGAGGCAAGATTATATACCACTGCACTCTAGTCTGGTGACAGAGTGAGACACCACCTCAAAAAAAAAAAAAAAAAAAAAAAGGAATAAGAAGGCAGCATTCTAGAGTACTTCAAGTTTACATATGAAGGGCTGGTTACATAAGTTGTAAGACCCAGTACAAAATGAAAATAAGGGACAGCTTTTTCAGAAAGTATTTCAAGATGGCAACAGTAGAGCATTAACCCACCTGTGGGGCCCTTCTGAGGACAGGGCCATGTGACTGCACAGGTCACACACCCATGAAGTCAACCCTAAGTGTAGGATAGTATTCTATGACAAATTATAGACGAATAAACTATGTTGCCTAGTACACGTTGTGATGCTACTAGGCCTTTCAATGTGGTTATTTGTCTGTTTATTTGAGATGGAGTTTTGCTCTTGTTGCCCAGGCTGGAGTGCAATGGCGTGATCTCAGCTCGCTGCAACCTCTGCCTCCCAGGTTCAAGTGATTCTCCTGCCTCAGCCTCACAAGTAGCTAGAATTACAGGCATGTGCCACCACGCCCAGATAATTTTGTATTTTTAAGTAGAGACAGGGGTTCACCACATTGGTCAGACTGGTCTTGAACTCCTGACCTCAGGTGATCCACCTGCCTCTGCCTCCCAAAGTGCTCGGATTATAGGCATAAGCCACCATGCCCGGCCTCAGTGTGTTTTCATTCTATGTTGGACATTTGGCATGCAAAGAATTACATTTCATTTTAAAAATTACTAAGCATTGATTATATTTGTACTATATGCTGTAGAGAATCTCTTCTAACATTTAATGTAATCAAGCATATAAATAACTAATCTAATTTTTAAAATGTTATAAAAAGTTACAGTTATAATTCTTCCACTTTTCCCCACAAGCCTAAAGCGCAGAGCAGAGACTGAAACTGGTTGGCACTCAATAAACACTTGTCAAATGAATGCAAGGAGGCTGGAAAGTCCCATATCAAGGAGTTGTTATTTGGTGAGGGCCTTCTTGCTGTGTCATCCCATGGCAAAAGGCAGAATGGCAAAAGAGCCAAATTTTACTCACCTTAAAAGTGAAGGAAAGGCCAGGTGCAGTGGCTCATACCTGTAATTCCAGCACTTTAGGAGGCCAAGGCAGGTGGATCACCTGAGGTCAGGAGTTCGAGATCAGCCTGGCCAACAAGGCAAAATGCCATTTCTACTAAAAATACAAAAAATTAGCCGGGCATGGTGGCACATACCTGTAGTCCCAACTACTCAGGAGGCTGAGGTGTTAGAATCTCTTGAATCCAGGAGGTGAAGGTTGCAGTGAGCCGAGATTGTGCCACTGCACTCCAGCCTGGGCAACAGAGCAAGACTCCTTCTAAAAAAAAAAGAAGAAAAGAAGGAAATTCTAACACATGCTATATGAGGGCATTAAGCTAAGAAACAAGCCACTCACAAAAGTCAAATATGGGAAGATTCCACTTATATGAGGAAGTTAGTGTAGTCAAAATCATGAAGACAGTAAGTAGAATGGCAGTTGCCAGGGGCTGGGGGGAGGGAGGAATGGGAAGTTATTTTTTAATTAGTATAGAGTTTCAGTTTTACAAGATGAAAAGAGTTCTGGAGCTAGATGGCAGTGATGCTTGCATATTATGAATGTATTAATATCACTAAACTGCACACTTTAAAATGTTTAAGATTGTAAATGTTCTTATATTTTACCACAACTAAAAAAAAATAAAAATAAAACAGTACATATAGTGAAGAAGAAATGAAGTTGCAACCAAAGGGACCAATATTTTGGGTGAGAAATCTAATACTTAATTCAGTGCTAATTTTTACATTTTTAGTAGAGACAAGGTTTCACCATCTTGGCCAGGCTGGTCGTGAACTCTTGACCTCAAGTGATCTGCCCGCCTTGGCCTCCCAAAGTGCTGATTACAGGTGAGAGCCACCACGCCCGGCCTCACACCCTTGTGTGTGATTCTCTTAATTCCATTTTCTCTCTTCCCCTCTACCCCTTAATATACTGCACTTCACCTTGTCATGAGCCAAGTAGGACCTGAAATAAGAATACTCAAAACACGGAAGAAATAAACAAGAAGACAGAAACTAAAACCCGTATTTTTTTTTTTTTTTTTAGTGCTTGGTAACTATCCCTTTGTGTCTCCCTAAGTGCAGGATAAACTTCTTGGGGGCAAATACAAATGTTTGATAAAATTCTGGGCCAAGGAGTCTTGCACTGGATATATTCAACAAATTACCTGCCGATGATAACAGCGTAAGTAAAACGAGTTCTGAAAGTAACAAATGACTTAGTTATCCTCAGTTATAAGGATAAATCCGTCCTTTTCTTTTTCACCTAGCCCTTTTGTTGGGCCTCTAAAATGTAAGGTAACTACGTGGGAAAGCAAGCAACAGCTGGTAGTGTGTTTTTACCCTGATTTTATCACTCCAAGTATCTACCGTCGCTGGCTTTGCGAAGACTAGCTTTGTATCAGAACGAGGTGCGGCCGGAACGCCTGAGGAAAGCAAACCAACTTTCCCAGCCGACGCGTTGACAGCGTGTCCCCACGCTGCGCCGGGGTAGGAACTTCCTCCAGCCTGGTTCGCCCGGCGGGGAACCAATAAAGTTGAGCGCGTTCAAAGGGGTCCTAATCTTCCAGGGCCCACTGGGCAGGCCTGCAAAATAAGGCCCCTAGAAACTCCCTGAGGTTTGCAAGTCTTCTCCCGCTCCTCGGAATTTCCCCCCCTTCATTCGCATTACTTTTATTCTGACGGAAACGGCGCGGGCTAGGCCCCAGGAGGGGCGCTTTTCAGGTGCAACTGGCCCGGCGATCGCGGTGGGCAACCCCTACAAGGCCCCCGGTTGACTGGGAGCTGACGATCTGAGCTGTGGCTTTGGAAGACCCAGACGATGAAGCCTAGACCCGCCCGGTTCGTGGATAATAAACTCAAGCAACGAGTCATCCAGGTGTGTATTCTGCACCGCTCGGTCTCGCCAAGGGCCCCGATCACTGCCCCAGGGTGCCACTCCCCTTTTTTTCGGGTGGCGTCCACGTGGAACTCAACTAGTCTTCTTTTCCCCAGTCTGGGTCTGGGCGTGCGTCTGTTCCTCCTTCGTTGGTGGTGCCGGGGTCTTCCCTACCCACGTTGGTGCGGAGTCTCAGGAGAAACCGGGGACAGTGGGAGGGTGCAGCTTGGTGGGGCTGCCGAGGATGTCTGGTCGTCTTCAGCGCAGATCATTCAGTAGAGTGGAGTTAGCCTTTGAATTTTAACCTCTTTGACTTGTGAAGTTAGTACAGGAATGGTGTTCAAACGCTCGCATTGTAAGAGGTCTTTGAGAAGGGGTGGCATAAATAATACGTTAATTTCCGCTGTCAAGGAACTTACACACTAAAACGAGATAACACAGTCTGGCAACAGTAACAGGCACTTTGCCTACGGTTTTCTCATTTTCATGACCATCAGTAAAAAGCAGTGTGTGGCAAATACCTTAGAATGTAAACAAGCAGTCTGAGTTAAAAGGCGGGAGAGAATTTTCTTCACTTAGGAATTGGTGAGCTACACATTCTCCTTGTTTTTCTTTCACTTCACCAGCCCCTAAACAATCTCCTTTTCGGACCCATCTTTTCCTACCAACTTGTAAATGTTGGAAGTGCTCTGAGCCACTGTTCTCTTACCTTCCCTTCCTCCTCTTTCCTCATACACCTTTCTTATCTATCCATGCTTCCTATGTGATCTCGTTTAGTCTAATAACCTTTGGATAGTGTCTACGTATTCTATTATCTATATATTTATTTCATTTTATTTTTATTTTTCTGAGACACAGTCTCGCTCTGTTGCCCAGGCTAGAGTTCAGTGGCTGTTCATGGGCACAATCGTAGCTCACTGCACCCCCGGCCTCCCTGGCTCAAGCAATCCTCCCTCCTCAGCCTCCCCAGTAGCTGGGACTACAGGTGTGCACCACCACATCTGGCCAATTTATTATTATTATTACCATTTGTAGAGACGGGGTTCCACTATGTTACTCTGGCTGGTCTCTAACTCCTCGGCTCAAACGATCGGGCCTCAGCCTCCGAAAGTGCTGGGATTACCGGTGTAAGCTGCTGTCCTGTCCTCTATATATTTATGATGGCTAAATTTGTATCTGCTGTCCAGATTTTATCTTGAAGTACAGATTGATATATCCAGCTGCCTAGTTAGCGTATCTCCAAATTAAAATGGCCAAGTGGAACTTGTGATTTTTTCTTCCTTCAAACCTGCCCTTTCTTAGTGTTCTGTATCTCGGTAAGTGATACCACCGTTTGTCCAGTTGTTAAGGCCAAAAGCCTTAAGGGTCATTCTGAGTCTTTCTTTCATTTCCTGTATACCATCCATCAACAGCGTGGTTTGCTTTACTTTCAAAATATATTCCAAGTACTTCTTACTGTCTTTCCCTATAACCATCTTAGTCCAAACCATCATCTCTACCTTATACTATTGCAATGGCCTCCTAACTGGTCTTTCTGAGTCTGCTTTTACCTAAAGCCTATTCCCCACAGAGCAGCCAGAGACATCTAATTTTTTTTTTTTTTTTTTTTTCGCTCACTGCAACCTCTGTCTCCTGGGTTCAAGCGATTCTTCTGCCTCAGCCTCCCAAGTAGGTGGGATTACAAGTGCATGCCATCACGCCTGGCTAATTTTTCTATTTTTAGTAGAGACGAGGTTTCACCATGTTGGCCAGGCTGGTCTTGAATTCCTGACCTCAGTTGATCTGCCCGCCTCAGCCTTCCAAAGTGCTGGGATTACAGGCGTGGCCAAGACATCCTTTTAAAGGGAAAAATTAGGCTAGGGGAGGGATAGCATTAGGAGAAATACCTAATGTAAATGACGGGTTGATGGGTGCAGGAAACCACCATGGCCCTTGTATACCTGTGTAGCAACCTGCATGTTCTGCACATGTATCCCAGAACTTAAAGTATAATTTAAAAAAAAAAAAAAAAAGGGAAAAATCAGAGCTTGCCATAGCCCTGCTCAAAACCTTTCAGTGGAGTCACAGACATCTAGAGTAAAACCCAGTCAGAAAAGCCTTGCATATTCTGGCCTCTGTTGTCCTAGTTTACTTTTCGTCTCCTGTTCCAACCACACAGACCTTCTCAAACATGCCAAGCACAGGACCTTTGTTCTCGTTGTTCACTCACTCTGAATTACTCTTCCTCTGGATGTCCCCGCATCCCACAACTTGCTCCTTCACTTTATTCAAGTTTCTGAGCAGTGACTCCTAATTACTGCATCTAGTGGCCTCTTCTCTGTCCTCACACTTGACTGCTTTTCAACGTTTGACATTATCAGTTTTCCTCTGTAGCTTTCACTTCGGTTCATTATAAAAGTACATATTGAATATCCCTTATTCTAAATGCTTAAGACCAAAAAATGTTTCAGATTGATGTTTTTCAGGGTTTGGAATGTTTGTGTATACATAATGAGATATTTGGGGATGGGACCCAAGTTAAACATGAAGTTTACTTATGTTTCATATACACCTTATACACATGGCCTGAAGATAGTCTTACACAAGATTTTAAATAAATTTTCACTTAGCTATATATTTAATTTAATTTAATTTTAATTTTTTATTTTTGAGACTGGGTCTCACTCTGTCACCCAGGCTGGAGTGCAGTGGTGTAAACAGTGCTCACTACCACCTCAAACTCATGGGGTCAAGTGATTCTCCCACCTCAGCCTCCCATGTAGCTGGAACCACAGGTATGCACTATCATGTCTGGCTAATTTTTAAATTTTTCATGGAGATGAGATCTTACCATCTTGGCCAGGCTGGTCTGGAACACCTGGACTCAAGCAATCCTCCCACTTTGGCCTCTCAAAGTGCTGGGATTACAGGTGCAAGCCACCACGCTCAGGCTATTTTATTTATTTATTTATTTTTGAGACAAAGTCTCGTTCTGTTATCTAGGCTGGAGTGCAGCGGCTCGATCATAGCTCACTGCAGTCTCTAAGTCTGGACTTAAGCGATCTCCCACCTTGGCCTCCCAAAATGCTGGGAGTATAAGCACAAGCCACCACACCCAACCAATTTTTAAATTTTTTTGTAGAGATGAGATCAAACTTTGTTGCCCAGGGTGGTCTTGAACTCCTGAGCTCCCAAAGTGTTGGGATTACAGGTATGAGCCACCATGCCCAGCCAAAAGGTGATTTAATATTGAAACTAGGGGCCGGGCGCGGTGGCTCAAGCCTGTAATCCCAGCACTTTGGGAGGCCGAGACGGGTGGATCACGAGGTCAGGAGATCGAGACCATCCTGGCTAACATGGTGAAACCCCGTCTCTACTAAAAAATACAAAAAACTAGCCGGGCGAGGTGGTGGGGCCTGTAGTCCCAGCTACCTGGGAGGCTGAGGCCGGAGAATGGCGTGAACCCGGGAGGCGGAGCTTGCAGTGAGCTGAGATCCGGCCCCTGCACTCCAGCCTGGGCGACAGAGCAAGACTCCCTCTCAAAAAAAAAAAAAAAAATTGAAACTAAATTGCCTCAAGCTCGTAGTTCTGCAGTATCTGACAGATGTCAAATATCACTGTGTTCCTTGAAGTTTAAAATATCCCCTGCTGCCCTTATGAGTTTATTGCAGTGTTCTAGGGTGTTTGGAAACCTAGGATATTAGTAAGTAAGCCATCACTTACTGCCTTGTAACTATGCTCGTAATAATATTGTGTTATAGTGATTACTAATGTTAATTAAATTTTCTGATTTCAGACTTGACAATTATTGGTTACTTTTATTTATGTTTCTGGTATGCTTTATTAATGAAGAGTTTATCTTAAAGTATAAAGCTCAATCTGTTGATTAAAATCACTGAATTTGAAATATTGAGTGTTTTATATTTGTTATATTTTCTGTTTTAGTACCTTACCGGTAACAAATGTGGCAAATATGTGGACATTGGAGTCTTAGCATCTGATTTACAAAGAATGTACAGGTAAATAAATAGTTTCCAGATCCTTGAATTTTTATTTCCCCTTTACCATTTTGAAAGTTTATATCCTGCTTAAATTTCTAGTTGATATCAATAGCTGCTGGCATTAGTTCACCAATCCATAATCTTGGAACTCAATTTGGTTATGCATACATTTATCAAATACCTATTATGTGCAGTAAGATGTCTTTTGTACTGTGGGAAATGGTCGCTGCTTATCTTTTAGTACCTCACAGTCTGGTCAAGAGATAGAGATGTTATTATATCACTTCCTTTCCTGCTTCATTAGAAAATTAAAACCAGGCCAGGCATAATGGCTCATGCCTGTAATCTCAGCACTTTGGGAGGCTGAGGTGGGAGGATGGCTTAAGCCCAGGAGTTTGAGACCAGCCTGGGCAACATGGTGAAACTCCATCTGTACAAAAAATATACAAAAATTTGCCAGGCTTGGTGGCATGCACCTGTGGTCCCACCTACTTGGGAGACTGAGGTGGGAGAATCACTTGAGCCCAGGAGGTCAAGGCTGTAGTGAGTTGTGGTCATGCCAGTGCACTCTAACCTCAGTGACAGAATGAGATCCTCTCCCAAAAAAGACAGAAAGAAAATTAAAACCATCACCAGCAGGTATGATCTCCCTGAGTTTTCTGACTCCTTTTTTTTTTTTTTTTTTTGAGACGGATTTTCGCTCTTGTTGCCCAGGCTGCTGGAGTGCAATGGTGCAACCTCAGCTAACCACAACCTCTGCTTCCCAGGTTCAAGCAATTCTCCTGCCTCAGCCTCCTAAGTAGCTGGGATTATAGGCATGTGCCATCACACCTGGGTAATTTTGTATTTTTAGTAGAGACAGGGTTTCACTATGTTGGCCAGGCTGATCTCAAACTCCTGACCTCAGGTGACCTGCCCGCCTTGGCCTACCAAGGTGCTGGGATTACAGGCGTGAGCCATGGCACCCGGCCTCTTTTTTTTTTAATACAATTTTTAGTTTTATTTTTTGTGGAGACAGGACCTTCTGTATTTGCCCAGGTTGGTCTTGAACACCTGACCTCAAGTGATCCTTTTACGTTGGCCTCTCTAAGTGCTAGGATGATAGGCTTGAACCAGCATGCCCAGCCAGCTTCCTGAGTTTGTTTTTTTTTTTTTCGTGACGGAGTCTTGCTCTGTTGTCCAGGCTGGAGTGCAGTGGATCTCGGCTCACTGCAAGCTCCGCCTCCTGGGTTCAAGTGATTCTCCTGCCTCAGCCTCCTGAATAGCTGGGATTACAGGCATGCACTAACCACACACACCTAATTTTTGTATTTTTAATAGAGATGGGGTTTCACCATGTTGGCCAGGCTGGTCTTGAACTCCTGACCTCAGGTGATCTTCCTGCCTCGTCCTCCCAAAGTGCTAGGGTTATAGGCGTGAGCCACCCCACCTGGCCAAGAATACCTTAATTATTTCTAAAGGCCCTATCCCCAAATATAGTCACATTCTGAGGTACTAGGGTTTAGGACATCAACATAAGAATTTAAGGGAAACACAATTCAGCTTATTGGACTCTGTGCTGTGGCTCCCAAAATTCACGTCCTCGTATGCAGATACATTCATTCCATTCCACAAACCCCAAAAGTCTTAACTCATTTTAGCATCAACTCTTAAGTCCAAACTCTTATCTAAGTATCATCTAAATCAGGCCAGATGCAAGGACTCACACCAATAATCCCAGCATTTTGAGAGGCCAATGGCTTAAGGCCGTAGAGTTCAAGACCAGCCTGGGGAACACAGTGAGACTCCATCTTTACAAAATAAAAATAGAAATAATTAGCTGGGCATGGTGGCATGAACCTGTATTCCTTGCTATTCGAGAGGCTGAGATGAGAGGATCGCTTGGGCCCAGGAGTTCAAGGTTGCAGTGAGCTATGATTGCACCAGTGCACTCCAGCTGGGTAACAGAGCAAGACCCTGTCTCTAAATATAAAATAAATAAATAAAAATAATGTTATATAAATTAATTGGTAATGGCCGAGATTCAAGGTATGATTTATCCTGGGGCAAAATTCCTCTTCATCTATTCACCTGTGAAACCAGACAAGTTATCTGCTTCCAAAATACAGGCATGTCCTATATAACAATGTTTCAGTCAATGATGGACCTCATGTATGATGGTGATACCATAAGATTGTTACATCATATTTATACTGTACCTTTTCTGTGTTTAGATGTGTTTAAATACACAATACCGTTGTTTTACAGTTGCCTAAAGTATTTAGTGCAATAATATGCTGTATAGGTTTGTAGGCAGAGTAGGCTATATACCATGTAGTCTAGGTGTGTAATAGGCTAGCCCATCTAGGTTTGTGTAAGTACACTCTTACTTATTTTTGTTTTCATACAATGAGAATGCCTAATGATAAACTTCTCAGAATGTGTCTCCATTGTTTAGTGATGCACGATTGTACAATGGCAGGACAGGCATAAGTGTAGGTTAGACATTCCTATTCTAAAAGAGAGCAATTGGAAAAAAGAAAGGGTCATGGGTCCCAAGCAAGTCCAAAACCAAGCAGGGCAAATGTCATTAGATTTTCAGGCTTTAGAGTAATCCTCTTTGGCTTGATGCCCTGCCCTGTGGGCTCAGTAGAGTGGTGATCCTGCCCTGTTACCTAGGAGGAGACAGCCCCACCTGCCACACCTGTGCCCTCTGGGCCTGTGTTAGCAGTGGCAGCCCTGCCTTCTTTTGAGCCTCCTTAAGGGTCATTCTTCCCTTTTCTTGAAGGATAACTTGTGTTCACAGCTGGATAGTTTTATTAGCCCTGTCCTATAGATTCCTGAAAGTCCAACAGCCTTCCTTAATTTTGTCCCCATCTCTGTCCCTTCAGTCCAAGCTGGCAGTGTTTCTGTTGCTTTAACCCCATCTCTATTCCTGGCTTCTGCTGAGATGGCTGACTGAATCCATAAGTCGTATGCTGGTAATCGCTTTAGCAAATTGTTGTCCCCCTACACTCTTGATGTCCTCTTTAGATTATGCTTTTTCATTTTTTACAATGTGGATAAACTGAGAATTTTCTAATCTTCAGGTTCTGGTTTCCTTTTTGTTGAACAATTCCTTCTTTATCTCTCTTTATACTGTAAAATTTCACTATAAGCAGCAAGGAGAAATCAGGCCACACTTCAGCACTTTGCTTGGAAATCTGAGTGAAATATCCAGATTCATCACTTACAAGTTCTACTTTTAAAACAGTAAAACACAAGTCCTCTGCCACTTCATAACATGGACTGCCTTTCTTCCAATTTCCAATAACATGCTTCTCATTTCTGTCCGAGACCTCACCAGAAGCATCTTTAACATTCAAATTTCTACTAGCATTCTCTCTCTATATATGTAACTATAGAACCTTCCTGTACAACTCTTCTCTTGTTTTTCTGAGCTCTTACCAGAGTTGCCTTCAGTGTCCTTTTTTTTTTTTTTTGAGATGAAGTCTCACTCTGTCACCCAGGCCGGAGTGCAGTGGTACAATCTCAGCTCACTGCAACCTCTGCCTCCCGGGTTCAAGCAATTTTCCTGCCTCAGCCTCCCAAGTAGCTGGGACTATGGGTGCACACCGCCATACCTGGCTAATTTTTTGTATTTTAGTAGAGACAGGGTTTCACCGTGTTGCCAAGGCTGGTCTTAAACTCCTGAGCTCAGGCAATTTGCCCACCTCAGCCTCCCGACATGCTAGGATTACAGGCGTGAGCCACCACACCCTGCAGTGTTCATATTTCTAACAGCAGTCACTTCAGAGCCATCTAGGTTTCTTCTAACATGCACCTCAAAGCTCTCTGGCCTCTATTACCTACTTCCAAAACCATTTCTACATTTTAAGGTATTTGTCACAGTAGCACTATACTAACCAGTACCAAACTCTGTATTAGAAAGGAAGAAAAGAAGAGAAACTAAGACAGAAGGCTTTTAAAAACAATAGTGTACCTCACTTTGGCTACCACCCAGTAGTAGTTTTCCTTCTCTTTATCAGAATTTATTTAACGAGTGGTCTAAGGCCAAGGCACAGTGGCTCACACCTATAATTTCAGCACTTAGAGAGGCTAACACAGGAGGATCGCTTGAGGCCAGGAGTTTGAGACCAGCCTGGGCAACATAGCAAGAATCTGTCTCTACAAAAAAAATTAAAAATTAGCGTGGCATGGTGGCATGCAGCTGTAGTCGGTCCTAGCTACTCGGGAAGTTGAGGCAGGAGATCCCTTGAGGCCAGGAATTCAAGGCTGCAGTGAGCTACGATCACACCACTGCACTGAAGCGTGGGTGACAGAGCAAGACCCTGTCTTTTAAAAAATAAAAATAAAGACTCAGCTAAGATTGTTTCTATCCCCACCACTCACTCCATTGAAATCTATGAACTGTGTTTTGTTGGTAACCTTTTTTCTTAGTTGATGGTATGACTGTTACTCAGCCAGTTACCCAGGTTAATCTATCTGTTATCTACTTCCTTCTACCTAGCCTTGAATCCCCCTGCCATGTCTATAATAAGTCACCAAGAAGCCTTGCTGTTGTCTCTTAAATAGTTCATGATGCCTGTTCTCTTTTCCTTACCATTACTAGCCTAATCCAGAGCCTCATTATTTCTTGTCTAGACTACAAGACTTGTTTTTTTTGTTTGTTTTTTTTTTGAGATGGACTCTTACTCTGTCACCCAGGCTGGACTGCAGCGGCACAATCTCGGCTTACTGCAACCTCCACCTCCTGGGTTCAAGTGACTCTCCTGCCTCAGCCTCCCGAGTAGCCAGGACTACAGGTCCATGCCACCATACCCAGCTAATTTTTGTATTTTTAGTAGAGATAGGGTTTCGCCATGCTGGCCAGGCTGGTCTTGAATTCCTGACCTCAAGTGATCCTCCCGCCTTGACCTCCCAGTGTGTTGGGATTATAGGCATGAGCCACTGCACCTGGCCTGTTTCAGCTTTTAAACATTCTTCCTACATCTATCTGCCATCTTCTGTTATCTAGGTGTTGGCAAACTATGGCCCTCAAACCGGTTCCTGCCTGCCACCTTGTTTTGTATGGCCCATGAGCTAAGAATCATTTTTACATCTTTCTTTCTCTCTTTATTTTAATTTTTAATTAATTATTATTATTTTTTTTTTTTGGAGACACAGTCTCGCACTGTCACCCAGGTTGGAGTGCAGTGGCGCAATCTCGGCTCACTGCAACTTCAGCCCCCTGGGCTCAAGTGATCCTCCCGCCTCAGCCCCCAGATAGCTGGCACGAAGCACATGCCACCATGCCCCGCTAATTTTTTGTATTTTTTGTAGAGACAGGGTTTTGCCATGTTGCCCAGGCTGGCCTTGAACTCTTGAGCTCAAGTGATGCTCCCGCCTCAGCCTCCCAAAGTGCTAGGATTCCAGGCATGAGCCACCGTGCCAGGCCCCAAGTTGCCTCTTTAAATGGTCATGATTTAGTACAATATTTGCCTCATCTAAAACTTTGTGTTTTGATGTAATTTCACATTTAAGAAAAGCTGACCCAGACCAGCTTAGACAACATAGTGAGACCCCCGTCTCTACAAAAATAATCGAAAAATTAACTAGGTGTGCTGGCACGTGTCTGTTGTCGTACCTACTCAGGAGGCTGGGATGGGAGGATTGCTTGACACCAGGAGGTCGAGGTTGTGGCATGCTCTGGTTGCACAACTACACTCCAGCCTGACTGAGAGAATGAGACCCTGTCTCAAAAACAAAGAATTTTTTTTTTTTTTTTGAGATGGAGTCTCACTCTGTCACCCAGGCTGGAGTGTGGTGGTGTGATCTTGGCTCACTGCAACCTTCACCTCCTGGGCTCAAGCGATACTCCTGCCTCAGCTCCCAAGTAGCTGGGATTACAGGCACCCACCACCATGCCTGGCTAGTTTTTGTATTTTTAGTAGACATTGGGGTTTTACCATGTTGGCCAGGCTGGTTTTGAACTCCTGATCACAAATGATCCACCCACCTTGGCCTCCCAAAGTACTGGGATTACAGGTGTGAGCCACTGCGCCGGCAAGAATTTTTATAAAGAGGAAAATGGAAAGAATAGAACAAAGAACACCCATATACTCTACCTAGAATGTCCCTTTATCCATGCATACTATATATTCCCTAAGGACAAAGGCTTTTATTATATAACCACAGTTTATTTATTAAAACCAGAAAATGTAATCTTGATTCAATAATGTTATCGAATCCACCATTCATATTCAGAGTTTGCCTATCTCAGTAATGTTCTTTGTAGCTGTTATTTTATGGGAATTTTTTTTCCAGAACTGAAATCCAACCCCTAAATTATGCTTGTTTTGCCTTTTAGTTTCCTTTAATCTGCAACAGTTCCTCAACCTTTTTTTGTTTTTCATGATCTCTACATTTTTGAAGATTTCTGGTAGTCACTATATTAGAATATCCCTCAATTTGAATTTTTCTGCTGTTTCCACATGGTTGAAATCAGGTTATATGTTTTTGGAAGGAAAACCAAAGAAGCAATTTGACTTCCAAAGGCACAGAATATCTGTGTGGGGTGTTATTCGGTAATGTTAGTTTTGATCAATCCACTGTAAATTAATTTGAAATTAATAAATAATTTATAAGAAGATATTTTCAGATTATATAAATATCCTGTACTCATCATACTTTCACCCATATTTTTAGCAGATGGTCTTGCTAAAAATATTTAACTTGAATTTAATAATAGGAGGCATAAATTCAGATTGTGGGACATTTTATAAATTAGCTGGCCTGGATCCTTCAAAAATGTCAGTGTTATATGCACAAAGGTTACAGGTTAAAAGAGTTCAAAGAGACACAACGACCAAGTAAATTCATGAACCTTAACTAGACACTGAGTCAAAGAAAAACAACTATAAAGACCATTTTTTGGGAATAATTTGAGAAATTTTAATATGGACTGTATATTAGATAATTTACCAATATTAAATTTCTTATTTGTGCTAACTGTATTGTGGGTGTGCAGATATCTTTTTTTTTTTTTTTTTTTTTGAGATGGAGTCTCGCTCTGTTGCCCAGACTGGAGTGCAGTGGTGCAATCTCGGCTCACTGCAACCTCCGCCTCCCGGGTTCACGGGATTCTCCTGCCTCAGTCTCCCGAGTAGCTGGGACCACAGGTGTGCGCCACCACACCCAGCTGATTTCTTTTTGTTTTGAGACAGAGTCTCACTCTGTCACCCAGACTGGATTGCAGTGGCGTGATCTTGGCTCACTGCAAGCTCTGCCTCTCGGGTTCACGCATTCTCTTGCTTCAGGCTCCCGAGTAGCTGGGACTACAGGCGCCTGCCACCACACCTGGCTGATTTTTTTTTTTTTTTTTTTTGTATTTTTAGAAGAGACAGGGTTTCACCATGTTAGCCAGGGTGGTCTCGATCTCCTGACCTTGTGATCCACCCACCTCGGCCTCCTGAAGTTTTGGAATTACAGGTGTGAACCACGGTGGCTGGCTGCAGATACTCTTTTTTACAGAGATACATGCTGAGAATTTTTGAGATGAAGGGTCTGTAACTTAGTTTCTTCTTATTAGTTTTTTAATTTATTATTTTTTTTGAGATGAGATCTTGCTCTGTTGGCCAAGCCAAGTGCATTGGTGCAATCACGGCTCACGGCAGCCTTCACCTCCCAGACTCAAGCTGTCCTCCCACCTCAGCCTCCCAAGTAGCTGGGACTACAGCCATGTACTACCATACCTGGCTAATTTTTTTATATTTTGTAGGGACAGGGTTTCCCTATGTTGGCAGGGATGGTCTCAAACTCCTGGGCTCAAGTGATTCTCCCACCTCGGCCTCCCAAAGTGCTGGGATTACAGGCATGAGCCACTGTGCCTGGCCTAGAACTTATTTTCAAATGGTTCTGCCCTACCCCTCCAAAAGAAATCTCTGTATACAGACAGAAGTAAAGTAAATGTGGCAGCTTGAGAATACTATAGGTAAAGAATATATGAGTGTTGATTACATTATTTCTTTAATATTTTTAGTAAGTTTGAAATTTTCAAAATATTTGAAGCAAAGAAGGTTAGTTTAAAAAAGGGAAAAAATGGAGAAGGGTCACAATAGTAAACATATAAACTTAGAAGTTTGAAAATAGGTTTATGGCAAGTGTCTATACTGTAACATAATGAAATATTCATGCAAATTTATTTGATCCATGTAGATTGAACTTAATGGAAAAATACTGGTGGAAACTACTATGCTAAACTTCATGTTTTCTTTTTTCAGTATAGACTATGGTCGAAGAAAAAGAAATGCTTTTAGGATTCAGGTAGAAAAAGGTGAGTCTTTTATTGTTAGAGCTAAATTATCGATAAAGTTATATAAACAATTGTTTGAGCTCATAGCATTTTTCTTTTTGTTTCAGTATTTAGCATAATTAGTAGTGAGAAGGAACTTAAGAATTTAACAGAATTAGAAGATGAACATTTAGCAAAAAGAGCAAGACAAGGTGAAGAGGACAATGAGTAAGTATACAAAATGCAGCGTTTTTTTAAACCATGAACCTTTTCACGTTACATTCCTGCTTGTAAAACTTTCAATGGCTCTTCCTTGCCAACAAAGCCCTGCGTAGTATTTACCTAACCTCTTCAGCCATATTGAATGTTCTTTATTCCCCAAAGAGATCAAATTCTCTGTGGCTGTGGTTCTGTTGAGTTAGAGCATCATTTCCCTTTCACAAACTCCCACTCAGCCCTCAAGAATCAATTGAAATGTTACTGCCTTTATTAGGCCTAAGACCCCTTTTTAAATGTTTCCTTAGCTTCTAGTTACAGATATTTGTTATAATCCTTATGATATCATATGGCATTGAAATTATTTGCTTACTTGTTTGCATTACCAACAGTACTGTCTCATTACCTTCTTCTTCTGCTCTAACACAACATCAGATATATAAAAAGGTGCCAATTAATTTTGTTTAAGAAATAGTATTGAGAGTTTTAAAAATATCTTTATTGAGGTATAATTGACATCAGTAAGCTCTACTTTTTTTTTTTTTTTTTTGAGATTAAGTCTCACTCTGTCACCCAGGCTGGAGTGCAGTGGCACGATCTCGGCTCACTGCAACCTCCGCCTCCTGGATTCAAGTGATTCTCCTGCCTTAACCGCCCAAGTAGCTAGGGTTACAGTCATGTGCCACCACACCCGGCTACTTTTTTATATTTTTGGTAGAGACGGGGTTTCACCATGTTGGCCAGGCTGGTCTCAAACTCCTAACATCTAGTGATCAACCCACCTCGGCCTCCCAAAGTGCTGGGATTACAGGCATGAGCCATTGCGCCCACCCGGCCAAGCTCTACGTTTTTAAAGTGTACAATTTGTTAAGTTTTGACGTAGGTATATACTCATTGAACTATCACCATAAGCAAGATACTGAACCTTTCCATAAATATCAAAAGTCTTCTTGTTCCCCTTTGCAATTCATTTCTCCCTCCACCCCTGTTTCTAGGCAAACTCTATGGGTCAACACTTTTTTCTTTTTTTTTTTGTTGAGATAGTGTTTTTTATCTACTGTCACCCAGGCTGAGTCCAGTTGTGCGATTCGCGTCCACTGGGGCATCTCTGCCTCCCAAAGTTCAAGCACAGTTCTTGCCTCAGCCTCCTGTATGTCAGTTGGGACTCTACATGGCGTCCTACCCACCACTTCACTGCCAACCAGTTGGTAATTTTTAGTGCAGACGCACAGGTTTTCGATCATGGTCTTGGTCCAGCCTGGTCTCGAACTCTGACCTCACGCACGCTCCGCCAACTCTCGGTCCTCTTCAAAGTTCCTGGATCTACAGGGGCTCTGAGCACACTGCTCCTCGGCTTGATCATTATTTTTCTTGTAATTTTTATAAATTACTTGCAGAGGTTAGGTTTTTGTTGATTTCATTGATCTTTGCTTTGTGAATTGCGCCTTGCTTAATGGGTTTTTTTCTATTTCATTTTGAGAATGGTATTTGAAATTTGTTCTTATAGTTTGTTGAGTCGTTTTGGCATAAAATACTACATCTTTATATGTATTATACAACTGTTCCCCATGTTGCCAGTCTTCCCTTTAATTATTGTTTTGCACCCGTCTTTGATAAGAGAAGTTTTGCATTTACATATAGTCAATCATCTCTCAGTTTCTTTTCCGTTTGGTTTCTTGCTGATATGCTTACACCAACCCCCTCTCAACCAAGAGTTGGTGTAAAATAATTGATCTTTGATCATCTTTTTTCTCTGTTCTATCTGATGTTTATAACTCTTTAAGTCCAAGCTTGGAATATTTTTTTCTTTTTTTAGGGCGGGGGCGGGGGGCATAGTTGTCAAGGGCAAAACTTTTTTTTTTTTGTCAAACCAGTGAACCATGATAATTATGTACTTTATTTATTCATTGATGATGAATTGCCCCATAAGTAATCCTTACTTGATTAAATTTTTAATGAAAGTATATGAAGCGGCTGGTGTGTCTGGTGTTTTTTTCTTTTTTTTTTTTTTTTTTGAGACCATAGGGGCGTCTTGCCTGTCACCACTCAGGCTCAGTGCACCTGGCACAATCATGTGCTCAGCGCATGTTCTTGATGTCCCAGGCCCAAAATGGTCACTCGCCACCTCATAGCCTCTGTAGATAGCGCCATGGGACTTAGCAGGCTGTGGCACCAGCATGCCCAGCAATTTTTATAATTTTTTTGTAAGAAGACACCGTCTCCCTTTGGTTGGCCGTTCAGGCTATATGTTGTATCTTAAATGTCAATATAACAGCATTTCATTGGCATCATATTGAAACTTTTCTATCCATAATAATAAAATAAAAAAAAAATCCTTTTCTATTTAAAATATATTTTTTTTTTTTTTTCGAAGAAACAGAGTAATGTCGATATCTGTCAGGCAATGGCCGTTGTGGGAGTCCAGCAGTGGGGCACCGATCTTGTGTCACCTGCAACCTCCAACATACATCCCCTGTCTGGGCTAAGCAAATCTCCGCTGCCTCGCGCCAGCGCTCTCCAAAGTAGCTGGACGTGCCAACCACACTTGGCTGACGTTTTTGTATTAGTAGAGATCAGGTGGTTCAACCATGTTGACCAGACTTGCTCCTCTGTGAACCTTCCTTGACCTCGAGGAAATGCCACTGTCCGCCCTCGCCCCTCCATCCATATAGGCTGGGATTTACATGGCCGTGACTCACCCTGCGCCGGGCCTATTTAAATATGATTTTCCCTGAAAGAATGTTTAAATAAGCTAAAGTAAGCAGCGCTAAAGTTACTGAAGGGCTATAGAATTAGACAATCTGCTTTCAGTATTATATATTATTCAATGACTTACATCTCAGCTTGTATTTATTAGATTTATGTACTTCTTTTTTGATTACAGTGAATTTATTTTGCTCCCTTGCCATCCCTGATGAACTAGTCTTGGATGAAGTTTATTTTTTGGTTATACTAA